TCAAAATAACAAACGAGGCATCTCTGAAAAGATTTAAATCTTAATTTTTATTTATTTAAAATTTTGATGAGACAATAAAAAATATTTGGAAAAAAACTTATGGTAGGATTAAATTTTTTTTTTTTTATATTTCGATCATTTAAAATGCAATTGTCTCTTGATCATTGTATTTAATTGTACAAAAAGTATATATAGGATGTTCGTAATGAAAAGGGTTAAAGATATTAAATATATTATTAACAAATCATATTAATTGCGTAATAATAATATCAATGATAATGAAAAATTACGAAAGAAATGCACAAAAAATGATATCGCGTGTTGGTTTTTATTTTAATACGTTAACAAATATTTCTATTGTATAAGCTGCGAATTTTTTAAATCGTCGAGATAATTAAAAGGACGAAAGAAAAAAAAAGCATTAAAAAAGTGAAGAGAAGATTAAAAAGAAAGTGATAATGTTTGGTTAGTTCTCGAAATTAGGATCGATGAAGCATGTAATTAATTGATTTCAAGTCGACATTTTTAAGAGGACGATGGGAAAAGAAAAAACTCTCAAAAAAAAAAATGAATAGAGGCTTTAAAAAACGAGTGATAATTTTTGGTTAAACATTTTAACAGTAGGATCAATTTTTGGCGTATAACAAACGTGCTTTTCTTTTTTACGACAAATCTTGTCTCCCGGAGAGTTTACCAGATACTTTTTTACGAACTATTATTTTTTCACTTCAGGTATAAAAAGTGTCGATCATAGTGTTGCTATTTTTTCGACCGCTATACATGCCACGTTGTCTTTATTATTTTACTTTTTTATTTTTCTTTCATTCTTTACTGTGGTCAGGTTATTTTAGCGCTTGGTAAAAAAGCCTATGTTTGAGAATTTTTTATGGGGAATATACGGTAAAGGAGCAAGATACAATTCGTTCGTAGAATTTTATTTTATTTACACTACAAATTTTTTGTTAATTGCAATTTTTCACAAAATGATATTATCACAGCTCAACGAAACGAGACTCACATCGAGAAAGAAGTTAATAAATTAACAATTACGTGTTAAGCTGATTAAAAAATTCTCAATTTCTACGGATTGAATTCTTCGATTTTGAATTATTTTCTTTTAAAAGAAAGATATTTGAAAAACATGAACAAAAATGTAGAAAATAAAGATTTTTGAGAAAAACAGATCAATTTTCTCTTTAGGTAACATTATTTTTCAAGGATTCCAGAGCAATTTCTTTTTGTAGGTTTGTAGGTATTGTTAGATGTCCGAAAAGAGTATGTTTAGATTCGAAAAGAATATACCGATTGTATTGAATATAAGGAGAAATTCTGTTAGAAAAGTATAGATATTATTATAAAAGAGAAAACCTTGTTTTAGAACAATTTCAAGGAGTTTCATTGTTAGAGGATTTGCATTTATAATTCTTTTTGTGGATGCTCAGTGGTCGTACCTTTAGCCATAAAAATAGGTTTGTGCAATAAATGATACAACAGGAATTAAATATTGTTGTTACAAACGTATGACAATTGTTTAAATTTATAATATTTCCATTAGTTTAGCAAAAATAACAAAGATTTATTTATCTCGTCAATGATATATTCAATATATAATACAATATTTTTAAACAATAATTTCTTTTAGAATTGTTAACAATTTGTTTACCGTAAATTTTACAAATAAATAGATAATTGTTTAAATAAAAATTAATAAATATATACATATATATATTTGTATATATTTTACTTATTGTTGGAAATCAATTAATAACATTAAAATGAAAATAACAATTTTCTTAAATTAAATAATACATTATTCATTGTGTATAAATAATAATGCTAGATGTATAGAATAGAATTAACGCGTGAAGTATTATTAAATGTTATAATATTTTTTTGTTTAATTTAATCGACGCGTGGCGCATGCGCTTCGACAAAAATCAAACTAGTTTAAATTTTAAACATTGCAACCGACAAATACGACATTGTCGATTACAATTTGAATTCAATTACAGAATGTATTTTGTTTATTTATTATCGGATAGCCAAACATTATAATAATTTTTTCATTTAATAATTTTGCTGAATAACGACACTCTTATGTTAGAAAATAGAATTATACGCTATTTAAATATAATACACATATTTTGAAATAATATATAACAATTATAATTAATATATAACAAAAACTTTATATATTCTAATAAATATATTTTTTCGTGTGTTGTAACATCAGCTTTCTTGGAAAATGATTAATAGAATAAATTAATCGAATTATATAATATTTAATGTTTAATAATTTATAATTTTATAATAAAAAAAAAATTGTTTCTTTCCAAGATAGCTGAGTTTTTAGTAATAGTTTATACCGCCATTTAATTTTCCTACTATTTTTTTATATAACATTATATATTTAAGAAGAAATTAATATAGAAGAGGGGATTCAAAACCTTAGATGTAAACTATTGTTTAGCACAGGGAAAGGAGGGGATGAACTGGGGGTAAAATTTATAAGGAGTGGGGTTAAATCTTAGAGAAGAGGGGGACTAATAGTTCGTAATGTAGGAGGTCCCATTGCTTATAAACTAGCTTCCCACTTTGGAACATCAATAATCGATTTTTGATGTTTAAAGTATCGAGTCAAATTAAAAGAAAAACGCGAGAAAAGAAAATATTTCTTTATACAAGTGTTTAAGGTCCATTTGGTAGCTTATTGGTAGAATCCAAATAATTTAACGCGACTTATTTTCCTATTTCTAAATTGTGAGAATACAATATTACCTTCATTTTATATATGTTTTATAAACGAACATTTTTTTTTAGTATTATCATTGATACTAAATAAATAAATAACAAAAAGAAGGTATTGGTGAACGAGAAGAAAGAATTCTTCGATAAAAGATTTTAATTATCTGGACGCAGATATTTCTTTAGAAGAAAATTATTGTCTATGTCGCGTGAATATTAAACGGTTAGTATATTTTCATTTATTTTTCTGTTTGTATTTTTTTTCCTCTCTTCTTTTTTTTTTTTCTCATAATTATCGTTAACTCAACAAATATACCATAACTGTGATATAATATCAAGAATTATTCTTTTTTTTTTTCTCTCACTTTCCCCCTCAACAAATCTAAAACGTTAACTATTTCTAACGTTTAATTCTTCGTTTAAAATTAATTACAATGTTGAAATCAAAATACACATTTAGGGATAATAGAACAAAAGTACGTGTTTCTAAGGATGTGTTAACATTTGACTTTGATTTTGATATATTGTCTGTCTCTTCTATAGTTTATTAAATGTTTATTAAAGTTATATATATTTGTTGTTAAGATTTTATTGAAAAACATAAATATGTAGGATTATAGTGCAATCTTGTGGAGAATGATTAAGAGGAAGGGCAAAAGGGATCGGGGAAGGGTGCGTTTGCTCCGCCTATCCCCACTTTTACGTCAATTCAAAATCAGCTGAGATAGTCTACTACGTAATATATATAGTCGTGTCTACCATTCAACTGTTCCAGTAGAGAGCTTAATGTTTTACGATCAACCATAGGATGAGTGATAGTTGAAAATCCTATACCGTGTCTTATAAATGAATATTTTATCATTTCACATCTTATATATTTTGTTTTCGCGTATTTTATTTTTTGTTTGTTTCCCCCTTTGTTACGTATCGGTTTTTAGTGGATACGATTCTTTGTGCTGTTAATTGGTAAAACACATATAAATTTATAAGAAAACGTTCGTGGTTTCAATTCTTTGTTGGAGAAACGCATTCGTAGTTAAACATTCGAAGGAGTCAGTCGCAAATAAAAAAAAAAGAAAAAAGTAATCCGGGTAAGCGAATAATAAATTTAAGTTATATTTTATTTCTTTTTTTTAAGTTGTGTTCGGTTGTGAAAATGTAATGTCGGTTAATTTTTTAATCCCGTTTTGTAGTCGAATAAATTTGATCGCGTGTGGATAAATTTAAGTTTTAAGTCGTATAATAATTGGTAGCGTAAATTTAGAGTATTGCAAAAGTGTTAAGGAAAATAATAAAACAGAAAAAAAGATGGCTTTATGTTAGAAACGTAATCGAAGGAAAGATTTGTAGAAAGTGAAAGACCTTGAGATTTTCTAGAAGTTCAATTATTTTTACGAATATTTGCGATTTCTATTATTAAAAAAAATCGTAAAGATTATTCGTAATTTTTAATGGTAAATAATAACTGTTTTGTTTTTTTTTACTATATATTATAGTATCATCAACGTTTTTTAGTTATTTATCATTCGCGAATTCTCATTCGTCACGTCTCTTCTATTCATGGGAATCATTGAAGTCTCTTATCGTCGAGAAAATTAGATCAAAATAACGCTTGCAATATGTTCGACGAATTTTCTTAGCTTTTTATCGAAATTCTATTAGATCGTGTGCAATTTTTTTCCTTATTTCTTTTTATTTAGTATTTAAAGAGATTTATTTGTCCTTTGCCCTTTTTTTTTTTTATACTTTCTTCTAACTTTCCCTCCTCCTTTAAATAAAAATATTCCGACATTTTTAATATATTTAAATAGATAAGAAAAGAAAAATGATTCATTAAGGAAATTGAAATAACATCTGGAAAAAGTTATCCATTCTTTCTTTTCTTCTTTTAACTTTTCTTCTCTTTTAGCAAGGTCATTCCTATTATTTTTTGTCCATAGAATAAAGCTATTATATATCTTTTAAAAGGTTTGAAACGGTATTATTTAGAATTTAGGTATGGAATACTAGGTCACTTTGAACTTGGAATAATTTAATTCACCTTTTATATGCCACCTTTAATCAAACTTTTTTCTAACATTGGATAACTTTTCTTTTTTGTTTGTTTTCTATTCATTGTTTGCAGAATCCAAAGTTCATCGAAGTTCAATTTTGTTCAATTTTATTTTAAAAATCTTGATTTTTTAATGTAAAATAAGTAACTAAGCAAATTAGGAGCTTTATTTGGTATCAAGCATTAAATATTTTTAAATAAAATGAAAAGAAATAATATTGAATGCATCGTTAATATACCGAATCAGTATGAATTCCAGCATTTAAAAAAAAAGAAGAAATATTACGATCAAATTTCTACTGTACCATTTTGGGATTTTTCTGATATAGTTATAGTGAGTAACAATGTGAACCCTTCCATCCCTCTCACCCCTTATCACTCTCTCTCTCTCTCTCCCTCCCTTGTTTATTTTTTATTATTTTTATTTGTCGTGTTAGTAAATTGTCGCGTATATTTTTTTTTTTTTTTTTATTTATGTATAAATAACTATCCATTTATTTCCTCATATGTCCCATAACAAAGTTTCGTAAAGTTTGTAAAGTTGATCGCGAGTTCGTGAATGATTTGGCAACAGTAACAAATATCGCTATATCTTGAACAATGTGTTTTTTTTTTTTGTATAGATTTGCAAATCAGAAAACATGGATAACAAGCAACGATCATCCAGTGATTCCAGCGAATTAGGATCTCTGGGAGATTCTCCAATGGAATTATGTGCTGATGTGAATACCGTGATGAATAACAACGGTAATGAAGAGGCTTATTCGTGTCCCATTTGTCGCACAGTCAATTCTGATAGGTACGTTGAAAATGATTTTTCTGTTTTTTTTTTTTTTTATTATTCTATAGGAAAGTCGAATAAAGTAATATGAAAAAGAAATTAATTGCTTATTAGAGAAAAATGATAGAATAAAAACATATGAAGATTGTTGAATGCTTTTTTGAAATGAAATAATAAAAAAATAAATTTTAAATGTGATTATATATTATTTTTGTAGAACTAGTCACCTCGAGCACGTGGCCACTCATAGGTCAAAAGCGAAAAGTAAAACGAAGACATTCAGTTGCAGACAGTGCCAATTTATTGCGACAACAAAATACGAATATTGGGAACACAGCCGAAAGCATATAAAACCGGAGAAGTTATTAACATGCACACAGTGTCCGTTCGTAACGGAATTCAAACATCATCTGGATTACCATATGACAAATCATATGGGAGCTAAGCCATTCAAATGTGATCAGTGTTCTTATAGTTGCGTTAACAATTCCATGTTAAGAAGTCATTTAAAATCACATTTAAAGATTTATCAATATAGGTGTGCTGATTGCAACTTTGCATCAAAATATCATCACACGTTAAAAATTCATTTAAGAAAACAGAATCATCAGCCGGCTGTGATACTGAATGAAGACGGAACACCTGATCCTATTAAAATTATAGACGTTTATGGTAGATGCCGAGGATCAAAGAAAAACTCTAAAACGGCGAAGCAACGAAAGAAAGTTGTTCAAAAGACAAGAGTTGAACAAACTAATGCAATACCGAGTATGGTAGCTCATACTCAAGACTCATCTATTAGTTCTCTCGTTGCTTCAGTTGATTCGGCAAATTCGATTGGTCCTTCTACCAATGGCTTAGTTAATAACGTTATCAACGAAGTGAACATTCCCGATGAGCTTCCGGTTATGGTGAATAAAACAACAACTTCACCTTCATGTTCGAATCAATTACTGTCAGATGGAGAATCAAGAAAACAATTATCTCCAATGGATTTTAACACACGTGGATCATTTTTGTCTGATGAAAACAGCATCATTAGCGATCAACAGTCAGTTACCTCGAAAAAAGGAAACGGTAGCAGTCGACGAAAAGGTAAAGCATACAAACTTAATCGTGAACTCGAAATTTCGAATAGTGCAAGTGAAAATGAAGAAATAAATAAGTCGAACTGCTACAGCGGGGTTTCTATAATAAATGAAAACAACTATCATCCCAACTGTAATGATCGTTCTAATGTTCCTTCGAATAATCTTTCGCATGAAAAAGATCAATGCGACAATAATTCACTAGATCAACCTATAGATTATTCGATGAATGGTCCACGAATCCATAATAATCCATCGACTTCGATTGATTCGATTTTTAGTATGGATTCTGCAAAGTTCTTGTTATGCAAATATTGTGAAATAATGTTTCTTCACGAAATTATGTTTAAAGTGCATATGAGTTACCACGGGACAGAAAATCCATACGTTTGCGTTAAATGCGGACACAATGCCATCGATAAAGTGTCCTTTTTCCTTCACATAAGTACATCTAGTCATTAATATAATTATTTATTTAAAATTATTTATTTAAAATTATTTATTTTAATAAAAATTTAGAAAGGTGTCGTTAACGATTTATATAAATATTATATAATATGAGATATTTTTCTAATTGTTAATATTTTAATGTTATGAAAATGTTATGGAATAGTATGTTACTTTGAGTTAAGATTTGTATAAGCATCGGTTCATTCGTGTTTATTTTGTGATTGAACACTTAATCATAATGATTTAATATATTATTTATTTATACGTTTTCTTGTTCAATCGGTTCATATAATTTTGTTTGTTTATTTATTTTAATTTTGACATTTAACGTGCTAATCGTTAATTATTTAACAATTAATATATTGTTTTGTGTTAATTTTTCCAACACGAATTAACTTTTGCTTGTAATTTATTAAATGGACATAATCGTTAAGATTTAATATTATATTAACATTCTATTCTGAGTTACTAAAAGTACTAATATTGTTATTGTAAATTTTATATGTATATCTTTGTTTAGTAGTTTTTTATTTATTGGGTTTATTTTAAGTATTTTGTTTTATGCATCTGTCATTGAATAAAAATATAATGTGCAATATTTGATATAATATTATTATGATAATATTATATAAGAGAATGATAACGGTATAAACACTACGAATTATAAATATTAATTAGGAATTTATGGTCAAAATAGATCGAATTTTTAAATAAATTTGGTCTGTTATCTGACTGATTTAGATTTTTTTTTAAATTTATAATTATTCATCAGATAAAATAAGAAAGACTATAAATAATAATATAAATAATGATTTATTTATTAATATATATTAAGAGTCGATAAATGTATGAAATATTTCCTTATATACATGCTATCGAAATTCAAACTATTTTGACCAAGTCGATATTTAAGTGTTTTTTTTCACATAAATTTTCAATTATTTTTTAATGACGAATCATAGCAATAGACTTATATAAATCCAGTCCAAATAATATGTGCAATATTCGTGTAAAAATATTTGATATTCGGTAAGTAAATGTGTGGATATAAAATTTCTGGAAAATTTATCAAATCAACACCTGCCATTGGATCCGTATCATTATTTTCAAATGTGTAAATCAAACGTATCCTAAGCATCCGAGTGGTCTTTTAATTTTTATTTTCGTTCGTCTCGGCTAAATGAAAATATTTATTTTAATTTAAGCGAGTATTCGTGGACACATTGTTGCAACAAACATTTGTTCAAGAATATTCATTAATAAATATTCGTCGAATTAACGAATAATTATTATCTACAATTCACGTAAAGTCGAGTGTAGAGAATTTTCGTTATTAGATGATTAACATTTAGTCTATAAGAACAAAGATAAAATGATTACTAAGTGCCTTAGATGCGTATTAATTTACCAGTTCAATATGGAAAACATTCCTGTTTGGTTATACATATCGAATAATTGATATTAAACTAACTTATCACGAATTATGGCGGATTTAATTACAATGGTGCCACAAGAATGCTTTATCAAATATTTATACACGAAATTATATAATGTTATCACACGAATATATTTTTACGCATTTATTCAAATTGCTTAATACATTGTTAAACGTTAAGACACCAGATTTTCAATTAAATTTTATATTCAAGAAGGAGATCATGCTATTTTTTTTTTCTTGCACTATATTCCTAATCGCTTAACTTGTGTACCATTGATAAGGCGAATGAAACAAAATTGGATAAACTTACTTGAATCATCTTTTCAAAACTTTTCTTTTGTTTTTTTGCGTACTTAATTAGTAATTCCGATATTCTCTTTGATACTTTTACTTTTTCGTGGATTAACCATTCGTGATTTGTGTGAACGTCGAGATCATTAATTTTTTTCTTTGCTTATTTTCTCTGAAAAAAAAAAAAAAAGAAAAGAAAAAAAATGAAATTTAAATTATCATCTTTGAGTACATATACATATATATAAAAAAACAAAAAATATATAAGTCGTGTATCAATTAACTATAATATGGATGTTGGAGGGAAAGTTTGAAAAAAATGTGATAAAGATAATTAAGGGCGGTAAAAAGGTCTCGCGTTATTGACGATATTTTTAATTTTAATCACACCTATTAGAGAATAAAATATGATAGAAAGAAAAGAAAATAATTCTATTCAATGGTACATATTAATAATAATCAATTATCAATTTTCAACACATATTTAAAACGACATTTAGCAAACATTCAATGAACATTTCTCATTATTCAAATACGAATAGAATTTTCCGGTATACTTAATAATACAAATCCGGTATTATGTGAAATAGAAATAGAACAAGTAAACATCTCCCCTTTCCCCTGTGTCAATGAGGGCACCACTCCTGATCTTTGTACAATGCTTACGTGGCAGTTTATTTCATCTAGAGAAACCATAATTATTGTCTTGGTTTTTCAAGGAGAAATTTAGTGTCCTACGTGTTTTTCTCTTGAATAGTGTATTTACGTGGATATCAACGAAGATTTAGCAATAGATAGATTAGGTGGGGAAAGAGGAAGAAAATAATAGTAAATTCTTCGATAAAAGGATTGTGTTGCATGATCTTATTTCGGAAGAAAAGGTACGAATTATATCAGGGTTAGAGTGAACGTATTCGCGATTATATTTTATCTTTAATATTTTTCTTACGATCTTTGACCTTTCCTTTCTTTTTTTTTTTTTTTTTACTTCGAAAAATTTCAAAATTCGATAAAATTTTTTCTAACGACTCGCGTTTTACGCGTTTCAAATTATTTATCTATAAAAATCGAAGATATATTTATAGGAAAAGAAGGAAGAAAAAAAGAAAAAGAAAAAAAAGAAAGAACAAGAAAATAATTACTCACATCTCTCGCGAAATTAATTTTTTTTTTTTTAATCTTGATTCAATTCGTACAAACACGATACGTGCGTTATCCGTTTAATCTGATTGGAATAATGACGATCCTGCAGAAATATATTATTTCGAATTTTGTCGAGGAATATAGATAATGTGTATGATGTATCCATCGTAAATTTGGAATCCTTCCTCGTACGAGTTAAATTCAGGTGAGATTAAATAATAATAATAATATATAATAATAATAGTAATAATAATTCTAAAATTATTTATAGTCAAAAACGGTTTGAATGAATTTCGTTTGTTAGATAATTTGTAATTTATCACTATAATATTATCGTCCAACGATAGTTATTAATCTCAAATAATTATTTCGTTAAGACGAAAAACTTTTATTTCCGATGAAATACTCGTGAAAAAGGAATTGAATTAATTAATTGAAACCGTGCGTAAATCATTGAACAGAAACGTGTGCGATCACGATTATGTTTACGAAGATACTGATATATTATCGTGTCCTTTGGTACGATTTTATTTGTAAGTTGTAAATGGTTTAATGACGTAGTTTGTGTAAATGTGTTGGGTTATATTAAACCGGCGGTCGATAAAATCGTTCTAAGCGACACCTACTATATCTAATTCTGATCAAATTGCCGCAGGAGGCGTTGCTTTCATTCTTAAAGAGGTGTTTGAATTTCGTAAATTCGAAAAATATATTTTCCTTTTTATATTTTAATAATATAATACTAGATATTTGAACTAATTTTAAACTGGGACATACTTAAACGGTTTTAATAAACCTTAATCTTAGTTAAACAGAATAATATTGGTTCACGTTATAATTAAACTCCTTGTAAGTATACAATGTACACGCCACACTTCTGTTCAATAAATATAGTTAATTTCGAATGTTTGAACGATTGACAGAATAAAAAAGAAGAAAAAAGAATTTTAGATAGAAGGGTTCTATTAATAAAGCACTCGCTGCTATTTTGTCATCTACTTGAATACGTAAATTTCTCTACAGAATTTAGAAATACGAAAGGCAGAACAAAAAATTATTTTGTCCCAAAAAACGTGCAGGTACGTGCGGTTAATCTTTCTTTTCTTATTTAATCTTTCCTTTCAACCTTTCAATCTTTTCTCAAAAGGATTGCTATAATTCCCTGAAATATCTTTTAATAGTTACTAGTATTTTATTATTATTATTATTATTAGTTCTTTGGATAATAATTCTTTCTCAGAATTTTTTATAAATATTCTATCGTTTTGTATGAAGAAGAAAAATATTTAACTAGAACATTTCTTTTTTTTTCTCCAAAAGAATGCATGGAAAAACTAATATTTAATTTACCATATATTTCTCACGCAAAGTGTAAACAATTTGTTGAAATGCGCCGAAATTCTGTTGGAAATTGTTGAAATTCATTAGCTATAAAGATGGGTAATTGAATAAACGATAAAAATATCGAACGGTGCGTGAATCTGACAGGTAGTTGTATTCACCTGTTTCACCCTTCAGTTAAACAGACTTTTTTTAATCGGTTATAAAAAGTTGACGAAACCGCGGGGCTTAACACACCCTTCCCCCATATAGAGGCGTACCTAATGGGACCGATAGGAGAAAAAAACTCCCCTTCTTTCAACAGGTTGATACCCATTGTGTAAATGGGTCGTAATAGAAGCTCAAGTATCGTGGATAAAAAAATGTTTTCAACTGGTGTACTCTCAACAGGTTTACCCATTGAAAAAAAAAAGGAAAAGGGGGTTCACATGTAAAAAATGGATATAATACTACTTATCGTGTATGACATTTTGTATGAGTTTGTCTATAGCGTTACATTATCAAATTATTTTTTGAAATGTAGTTTATTTATTTTTTAAAAAGATATTTTTGCAAAAGATATTGAAACTATATCGAAATGATTGGAAAGGTAGTGCATTAAAAAGATATTCTCAATTGTCACAAAAAAAGATTATGGTTTTTTTGTTAAACGCGTTTGATTTGAATAGAATCAAAGTACAATAACGTTTTCAGTTCATGACGCTGCAAATAATCTGTAACGTGACAATAAAAAGGTGTCGCATTGTTAAGATTAACGAAAGAAATAACTTATGAAAGAGATTTCTTCTTTTTTTTTTTT